TTAGTAGACGAGCAACTGTCTTTAATGGAGGCTTGTACCCGTTTAGTATCAGCGTCGCAGAAGTCCCACCCAGGCTCTCGCGCGTGCTCAAAAAGGCAGGATTCTCCGCCCAAAACGGCAGGTGCACATGGTTGGCATCTGCCGGACCTCGGCACGTATATAGTCTCGACCTCTTCAACGCTTCCTCTACCCTACACCGAGGGTTATACTGCCTATAACGTACGCGCTGAATGCGCAAGAGCGCATAGAACCTCGTGTACACAATTTCTTTAAAGTGGGGGGGTCGAGGCACTGAATGTGGCCCAGTAGAAGCCTTACTGGGATCAAAAATCACGCTGAGAGAACTGTAGCTTTTCAGACTGTCTCCTACTGTCAATGGGGAGTCCCAAAGCTCAGTAGCTCCTCCTGGTACATTATCTACAGGATAAATTACAACTACTAGGTTATAGTACTGCGAGCACAACGGGGAGTCAACAGCACGAAGTTCCTTGCCGTATATTCGGCAAGGTCCACGCACGTGGTTTACCACTGCTGCGGCGCCCCAGCTACTCGTTTGGGTAGGATTCACTTCCAAAAGCGGGCTAAGGGGGGACTTCCCTATGCTGTATCGGAAATATGCACTAGCCTACGCACCCATGGGCCATGGCACTTCGACTTGAACATCAACTTGCGACTAAACCTGTATCTTCGTCGTCACAGTAGCGGTAAGCGTGGCCGCTCACTCAAACATTTGCGTATAACAGATGACAAGTGAGGCGCTATTAGGATGGAAAGATATGGAGCTGATTCTGGATCTGAAGAACAGGTAGCTGAGGGAGAAGAGCGAGTCTCAGCCGAGAGGCTCCCGCCTGAATTATGGCTTCGAATATTGGAATTGGCCACGGACATAGTACCAGGAGCCGTTGAGACGGAAACCCTTGATCCCTTCCAACCGTCAGCACCGCTGCCTATGTTTGAAGACCAAGCCGCATTGCTGAGATCTCTGGCGATCAAGCGCTCCTTGGTACGCGTCTGCCGTCAATGGAGAGCCCTTGCGACGCCATTCCTTTACAGGATCGTCATCGCGAAAGGCCAGCAGCTCTCGCTTTTGCACCGTACTCTTATAGCGCCTGATGCGCCTGATCATGCGGATAGAGCGCGATCACTGCGAAAATACGTTCTGCGGTTGTTCTATTTCCTTAATCAACTCGATCACGACTACGATTCCACCAATCTGGCCGCGGTCATTCTCGCTCTCCCAAATCTAATAAGCTTCACTTTGCGAGGCGGTGTTCCTACTCGGTCGCGAACGGACCCGCATGAAAGTGTGCTATCAGCGTTAAAAGAACGCGGCCCTACTCTCCGGGTCCTTGACTGGGTTGATTGTTTCGCCTTCACTCGTAGCTCATCTCAGATGAGAGAACTGCTCTCGGATTTGGCGGAATTACGGATCCTCAGGCAGGGCCCTCTGCCTCCCGTTACCGCCAATTCCACACAGGTTTCTCTTCCAAAACTCGTTGTTCTCGCCTTCGATCCTTTCATGTCAAGCGGCTCCTTTTCTCCAGCCTTTGATAACTTCGCGTCCCTTCGAGAGCTGCAACTGCAAGAGACCGCGGAATTTCCATACAAACTTCCTGCGCCAGTCGCTGCGCAGATTACGCAGGTGACTATATGGTTCAGCTATGATTACCAAGCCGTCCAGGATATCATCCGAATATTTCCCAATCTCCGACACCTTGTCATATGGTACGGGGTATGGTACGACCTCCCGCCGAACGGCTTCTCTCTCTGCAATGTCGAGTGTCTGGGTCTGGGTCGATATGGCCGGCGGGAAGTGGAGGACGACGGCGTCCTGAACGAATTCCTTGATTGCTTGTCTGTCATGGACCCACCCAAACTTACTCTTCTGCGATTTCTTGGAACAAACGAGTGGCCGGGGTGGCAGGACGAGTGCCCTCAGACGTGGGCACGGTTCCAACGACTAGCAGGGAGCAGTAAGTACCGGATCGAGAACAGTCTTGGTGAAGTCGTACATTGAGCCCACGACCATTGCCCCGCCCATGTATCTATATTCTCCATTGCCGATATTTCAAAGTTCCGATTCAGGTTGTTACCCGTCTTCGGTGACAGTGACGAGCGGTGTGTCAAATGTATCTTCTGCTTAGTCTTATCAAACCATGTAGACGTACGCGCGTTGTAGGTTGTTGCACGCATGCGATGGCGAAGGCAAGGTGCGTCGATCTGTTCGGAACGCTTCTCACTCCCGGCAAAGGGCAACTCGAATACCATGAACTCTGTTTTGATCGTTCTGCTTCTCCCACCTTCATGCGCTGTGTTTTTCTTCTCGACCTCTCTATTCTGTGTATTCGTTTTGCAGACTCCGGGTGAGATGCTTCCGTTCCTTCATAGGACGGTCCTTTGCTCTGAAATGATCATCTCAGCAGCTCCGAAATGCGAGTGAAAGGTGCACCGAGGCACAAGGGACTCTTGGACGGATGAGCAAGGTTTGTAACGTTACCGACTGGTACCTACTCGAGCCCCCCCCCCCCTATCGTGCAATATCGGGAGTGCTGGTTGCGTCGCTCAATGACCACGAAAACCATCAAACGAAAATACAGGCATATGACTAGGGATACAAGTTATCGGTACAAGGTGCGGCTACAACCATATTAGCTTCCGTTCTGGCCTCGAATGATCAGTCGTAGAACACCAGAGCCCTCAGTTCGATGGACTCCCTCAGCGGTGCATCAGGAGGAGTACTGGGATCTTCGAAGCTAGTATGCGGCGTGAACTTTGCTACGCCGTCCTTCGAGTCGTAGCTGCGGAAACACAGTCAGCGCCTCTCCCCTCGTAATTTCCCGTAGAGTCTCTCACCATTTGATCAGAACAAATTCGTCAGGCTCCATCCCGCGCACGTACTTCCACTTGTGCTCGGGATTGTACTTCACGCTCATCGTCTCGCCGACGTACGTCGTATTCCTCAGCTCGGTCGGCACGACGTCCCCGCCCTCCTCCGCGTTCACGCTGCGGAAGTCGCAGAACGCGAGCGGCCAGTCAAGGGCGGCGTGCCGGATTGGGCGCCAGAGGTTGATGATTTGGAAGCGGCGGCGAAGGACCGCGTCTGCGTCTGCGGGGGGCAGGTGCCGGTGCACACGGGTGATGGCTGCCCCGGTGCTCTGGTCGACGTGCGCCATGGCCGCGGGCTGGCGGACGCTGGATTGGTCTGAACGCCAGTCTGAGTCTTTATTCGGGACCCGACGGCGCACGGCTATAGCAGAGCAGAGTTCTCGGCATCTCCTCACTGGTGCGTGATCACTTTGGACGGCAGACTCACTGTGGTCGAAAAACAACACTCGGCTGGCTCCCGTTAGTTCCTTGAGCAGCTCCTCGCTCTCTGGGTAGTACTCCTCCCGGATCTTGTCATCGTCGGTGAAATCGGTGTGCTTGGCTGCACGCCTGTAGAATTGGAACCCGTTCTTGTCGAGGGTGAACTCTCCTTCCCTCCCGCGGACGTTCTCAATATCGACCTGGTGCTTCTCGATTGCGTAGTTGCGCTCGAGTCGCTGGCCCTTTCCTGGCTCTTGGACGACAGCTTGGTAGGGCTTCGCCCCGTCCGCGGGGGGACCGAAGTAGTTCACCGTCGCTGTTACAGTGGACATTGGAACTGTCAGTTAAGCCTGCAAGCTCTGGCCTGATTAACGGACGCTTAGAACCGAGTATGTGAACTGAGTATCACTACAGTGGGATGGTGAGTATATATACTGTACTGCTAATTAGTCACAGGGAACTGGATGACGTGCTAGAAGCCCACATAGCGCAATCCGTCCTTGCTTATTCATCCATTCCCGAGGTATTACGGTATGTCTCAAAACATACAGTCAAGGTGAGAGTCGACAGTATACGCCTGGATATCGGTGAAGTTATCGGGGATTGCTAATCGTACCATTACTCAGTTGTCGTTGCACTACAATCTCTCGGAAGATGCCTTCCACGAGAAACTCCGTTGATCGTATTTAAGCCCATCCCTGACAAAGGAAAATGGAATATAACTTTACAGTAGTGGCATTACATCAGCTCTATACCACCTATCAACGAGCTCTTTCGCTTGAGACTGCTTTTTGAGTTAGAAGTGAAACAGCAGCGGCAGTTTGACCTTCGCTAGTTGTAGCAGGAGCACAGGTTAACGCAGCGTGAAATCTATGTTCGTACATCCCTCGGAGTGCTCTGCCCTCTACTTACTTCCCTACTGATTCTCCCGCGAGCGCAAACAGCCAGAGGCAAAGCACTGTCCTAGCATGACCATATATGGTATCACCAAGGCCATATATGGCTAAAGGTGACAGCCACCGTTCTTCCTCAGACGATCGAACGTCCATGACGTCCGTCGCAGGTGCTTCTGACAGAGAACTTTTATCGTAGGAGATATAAAACAGCGTTGATGGCCAAGGCGACGCCCTCACCCCTTTTCTTCCCCACGACGACGAACGATGCCTGTGACGCTCACCACGCCGTTGTCGATCTACTCGATCCCTGTCGTGTGGCTAACGACGTTTTACCCAATGACGATGAAGGTAGACTCTTCTTCTTTCTACGTTCGATGTTCTGACGTTCTGTATCATGCAGCTAGGCCTCATCAATAAGACGATGGGATACAATGGGTTCGATCGCCCAGAATGACCCGTCTGATTGCGCGCGTTGATGGTCATTCAATCTAGCATGCAGCCTCGGTCCAACACTCAAAAGATGATGAGTGACAACGGCGTATCCCCAGAGGTTGCTAAACGTGCTGCGAGGATGGAGGGCGCTCACTTGGTGAGCACACGTCTGCCGATGACGACTTCCTGACTATATGCGCTTGTTCCCTGGTAGAATGGGAACGAAATCTTACCGCTGTGGATTGGTGCTGTGGTATGTTATTTTCTCCTCTGCCGGCATGCAATTTAGCTCTTTTCTGCGTACGTTTAGGTTCTAAGTAATCACGCACGGCTCCCGGAAAAAATGATCAACATCGCAGCGATGACATTGTATGCCTTCTTTGTCCCACTTGCTATCAGATGGCTGATCACTCTGCGTTGACAGCATCGCCCTTAGAGTTGCATACAATCATGTGTATATCAATGGAACGACGCCTACCCTGGCAAAAATGAGGTGCGGCTTCTCCCGCTTTGCCGAACGCGCGTTGCTCATCGTGTTGGTCGCGCTAGGACTGCCCTCTGGTTCAGCTCCGTAGGTGCGTGTCACGCACTCCCTCGCGTCTGAGCTTCGGTGCGGAGGACCCGAGAATGATCTACTTACCTCGCGTTGATAGCTGTACCGATGACCCTAATGATCCAAGCCGCAAACAAAGTTCGGAAGCTCGGGGCGCTGCCTCTGTTCTGAAGACCCTAACAAGAAGGCGTCGGCCGAGGTTGCGATCGTTCCTACTATCAGTAAAAGAAAGCGAGGAAGATTGGCACGGTCGGTGTACTGCTTTTCCCCCACCTCGCCGCTGGTTTCGAGTCCCCTTCTGGATAGTATACAGTGTGTCCTCCCGTGAAATAGATAAGCATGCGAGTCGCTGAGCTCCATTTTACTCCGCCGCGAGGCTGCCTGCACAGCTGCGGGTGTTGCCTTGACAGTGGGCGCGCCGGGGGCTGAGCTAGTACCAGCCTAGTAAGAACGGATCAAAGCAAATTTACAATGGTGCGCTCGTCGTGAGGATCGGGATGCATCAAGAAGATCTCGAAGATGAAAAGGTCCGTGTCGCAAAAGATCTGGGGAAGACACTTGTCCGGTGAGTATTTCTTGGGGGTGCGGGCGCCTGAAGTCCTTCTCGAATTCATGAGGACCACAGGTTACCCGTGCGAATCGCAATTGAATTTCCAGTCATGACCTTGACGCCACAGAACGCGGATTTGAAACATGAGTGGCAACTGACAAGCTTTTGCACTGTGTCAGGAAGGATAGACCCTGCAGCTTGCACCCCGCCTTGTATCGGCCCGCAGAACTGCCGGTAAGTAGCCACAAGAGGAGCGGGGCGTACCCTGACGTACATGCATTTCAGTATTTCCATATAATTGCCGTAGTGAGGTATATCGGATCAAAGGAAGCCCTCGAGGTGTGGAAGCAACTTTCTGGCCATCTCAGGGTAAGTAAGAGTAAGTAAGGACTAGCGACGTCGGCGGAAGGCGCAGATACTGCGGAATGTGGGGAAAGAAGTAGCCTCGGGCTGTCGGTGACACTGACAGTGGTGCAATGGCATCGGAGGGTTTCGCCGAAGCTTGCAGCCTTATCTATCTTTGGTGGCAGTCAATGTAGATGGTAAGTTCCGGACCTGATTACGACGGTTCGAGCACTTGGAGCGCAGGGGGACGAGTGTCTGGTGTAGTGCGTAAGTGCCCGTGGCGGGATTTGCCAGCCTTACGTCCTCGAATCTCGTCTCTGTTACCAGAGAAGTGCTCAAGTGGAGGACCATGGCTAGCCCAACCCGCCTTCTCATCAGATTGGTGAACTGGCGGTAGCCACAATCTGTCGACGTGCTGCGCTGCGACCGGGTAAGCGGGTGTACCCCAGGGAAAGAGGAACGTACGGTGCGGTTCTCTAGTCTCGCTTGGCTTAGAGTGGGAGCTGCATACGCAGCATGAGCATCTCATGTTTCCTAGACGTCGTGCATTCCCCGCTAGGCAATACGTGACGGATCAGAGCAGTCGATTGATATCTTGATGTCCGACGCGTTGCGAATGTCGGGGTTCGCAAAGTGCAGTGGGGGACAGACGCTTGTGAGTGCTGCAGGCGGGCAATCGGTGCGAGTCGAGGTTCCGGCTCCTACGCCGGAACTCACAGCGTTGCGTATCTGAGCGATAGTAATAAGCGCAGTTAATGTCGAAGGTAAGTTCCGACCTCACTATGACAGTTTGGGATACTTGGGAGCAGGACAACGTGGATCTGAAACTTGGTTACCAGTGAATAGGTGGAGGCGGGTGTGCCTCTTTTGTAGCGGTCTGTTCGGGCTACTCTGGCCCTTGAGCCTTAACCTTGGGCTCGGATTGCGTCGTTTGGAGCTGGATCCGGTGTGCCAATTGTGGAAGACTGCGCCTCCAGGGCGAGCGTGGACATGAAACGAGATGCGTCCACTCAAGTAGTCGGGCACGAGTCCAGAAGTGAAAGAAGGAAGAACTTGAGGAGGTTAGAGTGACCTCACATCTCCGCGACAGGGCACGCGCGCCGGGGAAAAGCCGTATAGTTTCCGACCGAGGATTACGGACCATGGAGGCATCGATGACGCTTCCTTCAGCCATTCTCACAGCTGGTGTACAAAGAAAGGACAGATTGCGAAGCTCATGATCAGGACCGGGGATCAGTGCAGGTTCCGATGGAAAGCCGTATCCGTATTCTTACCGCAGATTGCAGATCCCTCACCGACTACGCCGGAACCACAAACCAGCCAGCCATACTGTATGCAAACGTTCTTGCAGACTTGCCAAAGGCCACGGGATGCCATTACTATAACCGTTGCGTTTAACAGTTGGGTGTACTCGCCTCGAGGCGTGGAAACACAGAGGCGGGTTCTGCGTGGAAGGACTTACCCAGCCCCCGCCACCTGCTGGTGATACATACGCATCATAAGACTGTTAGACGTCGGATTCTGGGACAGCCTTCCGCCCAACTGACAGGACAGGTCGATTGCGCCTATGTGCCGACGGGTCCAATGCAAGGCGCCTATCCGATTACATTACTATTCAGGAGACCTTTTCGGGACGAGGATACTGAACGCTCGCGTTCTCTTCTTCGAATGGTGAGGCAGTGAGTTGGGGGCGTTCGTTTGGGCGTCGTTCATCTCGAAATATGGAATTGGAGGTGGGAGGCTTTAGAATTTCATGAACTCAGAGAAGGGGGAAGCGAGTAGCAGAGGCGAGGTGGGAATGGACATCGAAATTGTCGAGTTTCAAACATTCCGGCTGGCCATCCGACTTGTTGGAAAAGCCACACCAGGCCAACTTAGCTTTTCTTTTCTTTTCTTTTTGCGTAGCAGCTGCAGACGCACGGAAGCAAAATCGTCAGGAAATGACATTGTCGGAACAGCCACAAACAACTTAGTTGCCCTTCCTGGATATCTTCGCGTGGTTCAATCGGCAAATCCCCGAGGGCCTTCGGAAGCTTTTCCACTCGTCGGTACTCGACATCGCGATAGTGGATGCCATATCTGCGCGTCGGCGGCGGCGGTGACGACCAAATCACGACTTACGTGGCCACACATACGTTCCACGTCGGCCTTGATTATGGCAACGACTACCGTTTGTTCGCTTTTGACGCGGAACGCGTACCTTAGCATCTCAACATCCCGGTATGATCGATCCGTCGAACTGGTCCAAGGCAGCGGCAGCCAACTCGATGGGTAAGTAAATCTTCGCGTTCGTCGTCGGCGGTGCGAACTGTATCATTCAAGCTTGCAGCCTCTTCCTCGGGTTTCCAGCAAGGAGGTGCAGTGCCGCCCCCGCACGTTGGGAAACGGACAGGGTATCGCCCCATCTCGTAGGCGCCCATGGGCCGGTCTCCCTCCAGCGTCTACAAAGCACTGATGGATGGAAGCTCTTGCCAGGCACGTATCCCCGCGCTCGGACCCTCGGCGGACACGTTATGCTCGCCCACGGGCGGTATTTTTGGCGTCCAGATGCCTTAAGCACAATGCTATGCACTGCTATGTGCGTACTGCTTCGGATCCGAGCGTGACTAGTATAAAGGGTTTGCGCCCTAGGATGCGAGTCTGTTCTCCACCTTCGTTGTCTCCGTCGCACTCCAGTGACTCGAAACAGCCCCAATCACCCTCTCGCAGTCCAGCCTGCTCATATAGTCTACAGACATGGCTGGAAGTCCCTTTGGTTCATACAGTGGACTCAGCCACGGTGACTATGTTACTAGCCCGTTCCAGGGGGACAGAACCGACAGGACGAACGGGGCCTACATGACGGGTCCCATGTACAGCGATAATAACCAGTTTTGCATCAACTCTGCATCGCTGCAGCTCGGTGCGAGGCCCACACCCATCATAACTACCTCCGCTGTGGATGACTTCGACGACTCGTGCTGGCCCTCCTCGCTGTGTAAGAGCCCCTTCCCTTTCCCGTTGCCCTCCTCATGCCATACTGACATTTTTCCATCCTCTAGCCGAGGTGGAGAACCGATACTCCCCGTACGGAGTGCAACCCCATGATCAATCACCATACTCTTCCATCCCTGGCTACAGAGGACTCTCGGACCCTATCCTCTCCGACCCAGAATCCCCGCACTCCCCTGCAGGCTCCGATTCATTCGGAGTCTCTTCGGTCAACATATCTCCTGTGGACTGTAACGGGAGTCTCTCGCCAAGCTCCTACATCCGCCCAGCTCGTCCACGCGCCTCCTCGGATACAGGCCGCGGCCGAGGTCATGTCCTCGGCGCCCATTCGGTCGACGATACGCTGCTGGCAGCGCAACCCTCCAATGGTCTCCTCTCCCCCCCGGCTTACCCGACCCACCGACGCGGGGGTTCCGATAGCCTGATCAACCCGCACTTCTTCACCCAACACCCGGGAGGGACGGACATGCTCTACGGCGAAGACCCCGCACATTCGCAGCACCATGACTTCGGGTCGTACCGCGGCCGACCACTCTCGCGCGCATCGACGGTGAGCAGCCGCTCTAGCCGGCGGCCGTCGCCCTACACCAGTGTCACATCGAGCCCTGTGGGCGGGAACAGCGATACGGATCTGCCGCCCGCGTTGGGGCAGATGGAGCTGAAGGCAGAGGATAGCGAGGGCGGGCGCCTCACTCAGGGGATCGCCGTCGCGCGTCCGAACGTCACGTCGCCGGCGATCAAACAGGCAAGCGAGGTTAGGAGGATCAAGCCGGCACCGCACAAGTGCGCGGTGTGCGGCTCGACGTTCACGAGGAAGGCGAACCTGGACGGGCACCTCACAGCGCACAAGGGCGAGAAGCCCTACCCGTGCGATGTTGGGACATGCTCGAAGGCGTTTGCGAGGTTGAACGACCTGAAGAGGCATAAGAAGATTCACGAGAAGGAGGGGCACCCTGGTGAGTCCGAGTTTCAGTCGGGTATATGGTTGTATGCTGACCGGTCGCGATGCAGCTCCTGCATGTTAAGCGCTAGGCTTCGACAATATACCACTCACCCAAGCACTTGCGACGCTGATGATTAGCATCTAGACGAGAGCTTACAAGGACGCTTTCCTTAATCAACCTAATTCCCCTTCACTATTGCTATCCACCGGCATCTCTTCCATCTCATCGCATTGGCATAAATCCGCGCCCTCCGCATGTCTAGTCTTCTTTCGTTCACTGGTACCCATGCTATTTCGAGTTGAATCTAGTCAAATTGTTTTGGTTGCAGTCTCTCCTCTCTCATGTCTTCTCCCGTGTATCCTTAGACTGTAGCCCGTGTATAATCTGACTGTAGCGCGAACTAATCTCTGTATAACGATGAAATGTGGACTACTGTGTGTCGAGTTGGAGTTGATCGAGAATCGCAACGACTTATAATTACCTATCGGACCCGGTACACCGATGTCAATTTGTCAACCTCTACCAAGTATCACTATCCACATGCTCCATGAACCCGATACTTTACTAACGTAGTACGACTGGAATTCTTCTCACATAACATTGTCATGCTTGTTGATTTCCACAAACCCACTCTCCGGACGAAGCTCGCGGCACGAACGATTGTCACACTTACACTCATTTGCAGAAATAATGACACTTCCCGGCTCGGGAATTGGCTTATCCCTGAACGGTTTCCTTCAAGGCCAGTCACAGGGCTGTGCACGACTCCAAGTTGATGTTTCTCCAGGACATGGCCTGTGGCCTCTTCGAATTGTTCAGCACCGCCCCGAATTCCATCATCCTGAAGTCAGAAAACTGCGCCTGTATGCGAGGAGTTCCCTGCGCCATATCGTATCATCGCTGTGTCCTCTGTAATGGAGATGCTGTCCCCACTGACTATAGCTGTTGCGTATCAAACTTTGTCGCTAGTTCTTGTGTCGGTCTGTATGACGGTTTACACAGCAGTCTCCTAGGCTTATAATGCACCGCTTAGGCCTCCTATCCCCTCACTCAGAGTACCTGCTTCCCCTTAGGAATGCACTAGGCCTCCGCTCAAATGCATATTCCGTCAGCCTGCTGGAATATCTACGCGAGGCAGCTTGCCAGCCTGAGAGATGGGCACGCTCTATGGGAACCAAGTATCACTTATCCTGGCGGAGGCGTTTCAGTTGGCGATGTCGGCTTCCTTCGCGAGGGTGTCTTTACCTGGCTGTTCAATGCCCTGCTTCCTGTGGATGACCTGGCGCACAAGGTGAACGGCATTCCGGACGGCTTCAGTCCTCTCATTGTCCCTCGGCCGGTCTTCACACAATCGAAATCACCCTTGCAATGTAAAACCTATCCTTCAAGGAGCGTTCGTACGGTGTCAGCAGACGTGCAAATATCCGGGTATGTCATTGCACGGCATATGGCCGATAAATATCATTCACTCTCGAACAGTGATCAGATAATTCTGCCGGAGGGGGGCATAAGTCTTTCCTTATCGGAAGGGGAAGGGGCGGCACTAGTACTATTAGACAAGGCCGAACGATTCGATACATTCAGACTGGGCCCTTTCAAGAAGTACATGCAAGACAACTGCAGAAATTGGCTCCAGTTCGCCAATGATAGGCATGGCTTCGATATAAGTCTGCATGACCTCTTCTTCGTCACCGGGTGCGATGTAACAACAAAATGGGCGACCACAGCATACTCGTGGAATGAAGGGAAAATCGACGCTGGCCTCGGTGTGCGTGCTCCAGGGGTAGTCTCTGCACATTTTTCCCTACAGGGGGGTTGGAAGACGGAAGCGGGAGTACACCGTAATTGCGGCCCTCAGAATCGTTTACAGCAGCACAATTTGGAGAGCACCGATTCGCCTGACCAATGCGTTTTCATTAGAGGATTTCGTGCCAAGGAAAGATTTTTCAAGTCAGTGAAGATTAAAGCTGCTGCTGGGTTCGACGAGCGTGGGCAAGACAAAGATGCCGATGAAAATAGTGCTGTACCTGCAGGATCGCCTTCGTCATCTACAGTTTCCAGTGACGATAGTGGCGTGGATATAGAGAAAACTCCAGGTGAAACAGAAGTAAGCTGGTCAGTTTTCGTCGCGGTTGTGTCTCATACAGAATCCTCCAGAACTATAACTTACTAGCCTCAATATTGCACTATATCCTACAGGTATGGGATTTTTATCATTGCAGCCCGTGTTCGAACTCATTCCACTCAGGATGAACGTGTGGATGTTGCTATTGCTCACGATGAAGATCTTATCCACCTCATGCAGGTAACAGTCTCTGTGGCTACCTCAATTGAAAAGAATGTTTACTAGTGGACTCATGATAGCACGCCGACTTCAATGAGCTCGAACATACCCTTGAAAGCCAATCGCCATCCGTTATCATTGACCCGGTGACTGGTTGTAAGTTGTCTGATCTTCAAAACATCAGTACCGACCCGAATAATCATCCTTCTCAGGCGGGTCTCTAGACTTGGTATATGATGTCGGTGCAACGGCTCACGCCGCGGAGACAATTACAGCTGGTGATTTTGAACCACGGGATCAACTAGCGCCATCCAATACGGAAAGAATACCGAGGAAGGATAATTTCTCATGGTCAGCTGCAGCAACTCGCGGAGTGTTGCTCTCGGAACCCCACCCCGAACGTATCTGTTTCTCGGAGGATGGTCGGCCCGTCGACACTCCTTGGGATTTCTGCCTCCCTACGAACTTACCCTTCTCTTATGAGGATGCGGGCTGGAGCAGCCCGCCGCGGTGGCCCGGGGTCTCGTACGGCTCAGAGTTGGCGTTCGAGGCTAGCTTAGACCGAGCACTCCCCCCTTGGGGGTCCTCTCCGGGCGCCGCGGTTCCAGATTCCGTCTTCGAGGGCTCGTGCGGGTCCTCTCTGAGCGTCGCGAGTTTCTCATCGATGAATACGAGTCCGGAATCCATCTCCGAGGGCTCTTCCGGGTCGCCTTCGCTCACCATGAGTTCCTCGTCGACGAGTACGAGTTCGGAATCCATCTTCGAGGGGCACACCTCTTCGAAGCTTCACAGACGGTCCAGCTCGTTCAGGAGCTTACGGGGACCATTCTCGGCGGGTTTCTCAACGATGAACCTGAGTCCGTATTCCAACTTCAAGGGGCACATCCCTTCGGAGTTGCTTGGTGGGCTCAGCTCAAGCAGGAGCGTTGGCCCCGATCTGCCTCTCGTGCAGATAGCGGAGGATAGCGAGGGCGGATGCCTCAAGCAGAGCGTCAACGTTGCGCGACCAAATATAACCTCCATGGCGATCAAGCAGGCCGGCGAGGGCAGGCGATCGCGACTGGACGATAGGCGGTATAAGTGCCAGATGTGCGGCTCGACATTCACGAGGAAGGCGAACCTGGACGAGCACCTCACCGGCCGACCACTCTTGTGCGCATCGACGGTGAGCAGCCGCTCTAGGCGGCGGTCGTCGCCCTACGTCAATGTCACATCGAGCCCGGTGGGCGGGTACAGCGATACGGATCTGCCGCTCGCGCTGGGGCAGATGGAGCCGAAGGCGGAGGATAGCGAGGGCGGGAGCCTCACTCAGGGGATCGCAGTCGCGCGTCCGAACGTAACGTCGCCGGGGATCAAGCAGGCAAGCGAGGGTAGGAGGATCAAGCCGGCACCGCACAAGTGCGCGGTGTGCGGCTCGAGATTCATGAGGAAGGTGAACCTGGACGAGCACCTCACAGCGCACAAGGGCGAGAAGCCCTACCCGTGCGATTTTGGGACATGCTCGAAGGCGTTTGCGAGGTTAAATGACCTGAACAGGCATAGGAAGATTCACGAGAAGGAGGGGCATCCTGGTGAGTCTGAGTGCTCGGGTGTATCGCTGTGTGCTAACGGGTTGCGATGCAGCTCCTGCGTGTTAAACGCAAACCTTCATCCACATACCCACTCACCCAGGCACTTGCGACGCTGTTGATCAGCATCTAGACGAGAGCTTAGAAGGACGCTTGTCATAATCAGCCCTAATTCCCCTTCACCATCAGTATCCACCAGCATCTCTTCCATCTCATCGCATCGGCATAAATCCGCGCCCTCCGCATGTCTAGTCTTATTTTCGTTCACTGGTACCCAAGTTAAATCTAGTCAAATTGTTTTGGTTGCAGTCTCTCCTCTCTCATGTCTTCTCCCGTGTATCCTTAGACTGTAGCCCGTGTATAATCTAACTGTAGCGCTGAACTAATTACATGAAGTCTACTTGTACTAAATCAATTCGACGGAACGATCGAGAGATAATGCTGTGCATCTCTCTTAGACTGTGCAAAGGAGCCACGATCTCGACACGACATGCACTGCTTTCCATATAGCCTCCTGTTGGCAGTGTTGCGCGTCCTGCTAACTGGCGTGTATGGTTCGTATTAATATTTACCCAAGTCGTAGGACTGGCAGACCTGGCAGAAAGGATATTCTGCTTGCGGCGTCCACTGTGTGCGCGAGCCCGGCCTAAATTAGACCGGTGATCGTGTGTTTCTGTCATTTCGGCCGGAAATAGGTTGCTTTCGGTCGAAAGCGAGTATCGGCTCAAATGAAGGTCGAATTAACGTACGCTAATTTTGGCCGGTATCAAGCTGAAAATCGAACGGAAGCAGTGGCTGCAAAGAGGAGTGTAAAGTAGTACGATTATAGAATGAGATCCTGCCGCAATTGAGTCCCAAAAAACAGTTCAATACTAGTACTGGGACAGTTATGAGAGGCTGTCCTCCCCGCCCTCGACGAATATCGGCTGGGCCAAAGGACCACTCCGGTCAATAATTGCCCACCACTTACGCACATCATCATAGACACGTCCAACTACGCACTGCACGGCGGCGAGATCCACTACTTCTGTCCGACCTTCTTCCCTGTAGAATGGGACATCAATATCTGCCGGTTTGTCAATCTTCACTGAGTGTACAGCAGCGAGCAAGATAGTTGTCGACTCTGAAAGCCCAAGATCACGGGATGGCGGCAAATCCAAGACAAAAATGTTTCTCAGCTGGCCATAGAAATCGCATGGCTCGAATTCCGGTGTTAGTGCACGCCGGCGAGCATTCTTATCCACGAGCAGCTGGTACTGTAAGGCATGGATTAGCATATCAGAACATACA